GCAGGGGACACTTTATGGCATCTCTACGTCCTCCTCAGTCTAGACGAATCGCTTCATCTTCAGCGGAGCAGCAGGAAAGTGAGAAGGAAGAGGAGGGGAGAACAACAAGGACCAGTCCGACCAGTGAAGCTTCACCTCTCTCTTTCAAGCTCCAACCAGCCGATGCTAAAGAAGAGATCTCTCCTCTCTTCCTCGGCGTGCTCGCCTCTGAGGAGCTTTAATCCCATGCTGGAGAAGATCTTCATCGTTTGTTCCTGAGGGAGAGGAGCAGCTTGGGCTGTGTGTATTGTAGGACCACGAGAGAAGGAGAGGTTATGAAATATTAACAACCAAGAATGTCAATAAGGAGCAAATTACCAAATGTCACAAACTGCAAAAGCTAAAATGACTTATAGAAAGAGCTTCACAAAAAGGAAAGAATTCAATTTCATCCCGAGCTGAAATTGTCCTTGACGCTGATTTCAAACTGCTCATAAGCAATCAGCGTCAAACACATGAGATACAAGGTCCCCTGCTGTTTTCACCGTCCAAAATCAATGTTCCGCTACGGTAAACAGAGACGCCTCAAGCACTAGGACCAAGCGGACAAACGGCCGCTCAAGCCTGTCTCCCTCAGTGTAGACCCGCCCACAAGCTCCTCCATTGGCTGTGCGGTTGCTCGTGTGATTGGCCGTCCCCGCTGTCACGTCATCAGCTTGTAGCCGGTCTGCTAGTTGCCGAGGACTCGAGGACTCGCTGTTACTCTGTAAGTTGTGCGTCTGTTTTGCCCGTCAGCTGGAAGGATTGTGTAACAATGTGCTTACTGGACACGTTCTCTGTCACCAGCAGCCCTGTAACGTTGACAACCAGTCAAACCACAAAGGGGACAGTCAACTTAAAAGTAGCAAGAGAAAACTAGGACAACTACTAGAAAACACTGAAAAAGTTTGATTAAAAATACTTGTGTCTCCCCACTTCTGAGATCTAAATTTCGTCCCTGGGTGAAGGTCATCCTGCTGGGGGGGTTGCCAGCAAATTATGGAGGCCCATTACCCACAATGCAATGCGCCTTTGACGGCATTTGTCTCTCTGAGCGAGCTCTGAGCATCGGGTCTCCATGGCGACCTGCCGCACGCTTCAGGTGAACATCGCTCTGATGCCGTCGGTCTGATTCTCTGGAGCATTAAAGCGCCGCCCAGCTGCTTGATTAGTCCGCGTTGCCTAATTACCCACGCTGCACTGCGGGCCGGCGCCCCATCGCCCGGCGACTCGTCTCCGAGATCAAACTGCAGGAACACACGAGCGGCATCAAGGCGCCATGAAAGGCGCGGAGCGAGCCACGTGCACCAAACGCACGTTGGTTATGATGAATGACGACG